TGGACTTTGTCCAAGTGATGGCTTCTACCTAAAATAGGACCTTGCACTGTCCTTGTGGAATGCTGCTATTTTGGAGGGGCAACTGCTATAACTGGCACAAGTGGTCTCCCTTTGAATCCTGTTCTGGCTGTGTGCTGCTTCTGTTCACAGCAGGGCTTCTGCATGTTTCAGAATCTTTTTCTTTATTCCCTTATCCAAGTACTGAACTGTAAGGTGTGGATATTGGGCAAAACCCTGAAGAACCTTTCTTGATGCTTGCCACCAGGTTGACACTGGACATGCAGGTCTGCTCTTCCAGATTATTTCGCTTTTGCCTTCTTTATGCTAGACTATGCCTCCAAGGCTTGCTCCTGAGAAAATCAAGCAAGATAAGTCTACAGGCCTCATTAACATAGAGATACAATACATCTTCTGCTTCTCCCCTTTCCAAAAGTTCTGCTTACCAGCCATGGAAAAAACAAACAACCAATCAAAAAGAAAATAAATAACAGATCAGATAGACACGATCTGTTATTGAAATCATACAGTGGCTTCTACTCTCATGCTTGTTTGTAATGTTTACAAATAGCTTGCTTATCGTTTGACTGATATGTCAGTATTCCCCATTAAATTGTTGACAACCTTGCAACTTACAGTAATGTTTTTTCCCTGGGGTAATAAGGTGTAATATTGTCTTGAAGAAGGATCCCATACTGGGGTACTGGGGAGGGGGGGGAGGGGTCTTCTTTCTACCTACATTAGCATGGTGACGTTCTATGCCCCAGGGTTTCCCAATTGTCCCATAAATTTAGTAAACCAGGAGTTACCAGAGGTATGAATTTCCTAACAGGAGTATGGATTAATTTCATAGGGGTCCATGCCCTTGGTAAGGGCATGGTTTAACCATATGGGCCTGGAGTAGAGGGTCTGGAGGTTTTACAGATATATTTGAGGGCACATACATCTTTCAAAGTGTGGTGTCTCTGTCTGTGCACACTGGGGAATGTGAGTGTGAGTACAGCCCAGGAAGGGATAATGACAACAGTGTGAAGGAACATATACACAGTTGGTGGAGGGGTGGGTTGACAGTAGGCCCTCTGATCCCTGCTACTGGCTTGCAATCATTAGCTTTGTCATGGATCTCATCTCATCTCCTACCATCTCCAGCCCTCTGATCACAGCAACGTATCTGCACAGGTATTCCCCACAGCTTCTGCTGTGGGATGGGCAGGATGAGAATCCGCATGGCCTCCAGTTAAGGTGTAGGAATGAGCATACTCCCAGATTTCTTCCAAGAGAGGGTGGCCTCAAATTTCCCCCATGCAGGTTTGGAAGGAACGTGCCTTCCAAGAGAGAAGCCAGCAGGTGCACCCAGCAAAAACACCCCAGGAGTCTGTATATTTGGTGCAGGCAGAAGAACAACTGGCTAAACACAGGGTTAAGACTTTGGCCATCTGGGCACTACCTCAGCAATTGGTTGCAATGACCTGGCCATCTGTGGTGTGAATGGCAGCAGCACACCTGAACCAAGTGTTATTGCGGAAAATTGCAGAGCCATCAGTAAACCAAGTACCCTCATGTGGTGTGGTCAGTGAGGGTGCTTCTTTAATGGGTGAGCCTGGGAGATCACCATCTAAAACAGGATACGGAAAACATAATGGAGTGAGGATAAAATGGTTGGGACCTAGGAGTCAAATTCAGTCAAGACGGTAGAGATACCGAGGACCCCGAGTTGAACTGTGATGGGTTGTGCACATCTCTCTGGAAAGGAAATGTTGCAAAAGACATCATGGAGAAGGAGATGCAGAATTTTAAATGTGAGAGGACAATCCCCAGTGAGTTCATCAATGTCAAAAAGGGCAAGAAAAGTGGTAAATAAGGTGTGCTCTCATTCTTGGTATGAGGCCTTGTGCACCTCGCCACCTGTTACTACCAA